TTGGGTTGTGTGGGAGTTGATTTCGTCAAAGCTGGTGGTCTTTGGGTTGGTGCGGGTGAGAATTTCGGCGACGTAGGTGGTTTTTGGGGAGGGGGAAGGCAAAATACGGCAGCATGGGTGGTTTCGCCGGTTTTGGTGGAGGCAAATGTGTGCCGGCAACCTGGGTTACGGTGTCGGCGGCTGAGGTAAGGTGGCGCCGGTGGTGGAGCTAGATTGGTCAGGGATTTTTTTTTTAATTTTTTTTTCTTTTTATTAATTCAATTTTTTAAACTTAGAGGCTAGTGACACGTGTCAAATTATGGCCCCACTAATGGATTTCATCCAAGAATCCGTTAAGTGGTGGTGAAATCAAATTTGTGATTTTTTTTTAAACCAAGTTTAGTACCTTTATTAAATATTAATGGACAATTTGTCCATAGTAACATACGGAGCAATTACAGGAGGACAAAAGTTTTCCCAGACTTGTTCCGTTCCAAACGGTACTAAACTAGCGAGGTAATGGGCGACACTATTCCCATCCCTCCTAACATGCGACCAAGTGATAAAATCAAAGAAAGCACAATTAGAAAAAACATCATCCAAAACTGAATCAAGGTCAGTGAGATAAGTAACAGCCTTCGAGAGTCTAGACACAACCATTTCACAGTCCGACTCCACCACTATCTTCTTGCAGCCATAGCGACGAGCCAACTTAATGCCGAAGTGTATAGCTTTGCATTCAGCAATTTCTGGCGACCAATAACCACGAGTACGACGTACCCCTGCAAATAACACCTCGCCAGCCTCGTCTCTGCAAATAAGCATCTGCAATCATGATAAAGAGATATGGAGAAAGAGGATCTCCTTGTCGTAAACCCCTAGAAGGAATAACCGAGCCAGAAACACTCCGGTTAATGATAAAAGAGTACGAGACAGTGGTCACACAATTCATTACAATTCTCACCCAACTCTCTGCAAATCTCATTCTCAGCAAAAGTTTCTCCAGAAAAAGCCATTCTACCCTGTCATACGCTTTGCTCATGTCTAATTTCATCGCAATACACCCCTTCTTCCCTTTACTTCTTTTCTTCATAGTGTGGAATAATTCCATCGCTATTAAAGCATTGTCAGTAATAAGTCTACCCGGAACAAAGGCACTTTGATTTTCAGAAATAACACCAGGGAGAATTGACTTAAGTCTCATAACAATAGCTTTCGAAGCAATTTTGTGGTGTTATAAGCAAAATTTTAAATTTTATGGTGATATAATCAAAATTTGTGTTTTTTTGTGGTGTTATTTTCTAAAATTTCCTAATTTTTTCTTTAAAAAAGGTCCTTAAGTCTCCTAATGTAATAGGATACGAGTAATAATAACCATGACGGCACTTGATACAATGATGGATACCTCAACCTCATTCCATTGTGTAAAGAATAGGTCCTCTGGGCCTCCCTCCGGCTCAACGAAATATTGCCCTCAGAAATGAAAAAGTTTTTATTCTATTGTTGTTAAGATAGAACTAACGCATTTAACCTAGCTAGCTTGATTCCTATACTTGTGATTGCCATTTGCCAATGCGTGCTACTATGATCATCAACACTCACTTGATTTTGGAAAAAATCCAGGTTCATCTTTGAGATAAATCTTTAAATATATCTTTTACCATAATATAAAGTTTTTCTTTTATTTTTTAAATAATAAAAGTGAACTAATAAAATGACACATAAATCAATTCATAAAGTTGTGAGAAGAGATAAACTGGAATATTAATCTCAAATATTTACCTTGGGCTCCATCATTGATTTTCTAAACCATTTTGATTTCCAAATTAAATACATCATGTTTTCCTTTTTTTTTTAAAAAGAAATAAAATAAAATAAAATAAAATAATTAGCTTAGATGATCCTTTTATGGATTGTAGTGACGTACACATTCGCTAAATACTCGCTCCATCGATCTCCTTGCACATAACTCAGACATAATATAAAACTATTGGATTCACTATATATACAATCTGAAAGGTAAATAATGTATTTTAACAAACAAGCAGACTTATTCAATACCACATTCAAACATGCATGATGTAAATATGTAATTATGATGATTTTACAGTAGTCGTTTGAAAAATGACTATTATATTATTTTAATAGTATATAATATGATTGGTTTTTTTTTCACCTTATTATATCTACTATGCATACATATTTATTGAAGATTTTAATCCAATATATAATAATTTTTTTCGAGAAACTATAAAATAAGAATAAAAATTAGTTAAATGTTGCTAAAAATTTGATAAATCAAAAAAATGTTGATAATACTATTTATACGGTTATACCTAAAATTAAGTAAAATAATTAATTATTTGGAAAAAAAAAAATTAATTATAAACTTTATAATCATGAAAACATTATGGTAGTCATATTTCAAATGACTAATGTAAAATTTTCATATGTAATTTTGGATTATGCCCTATATATTATTATAAAAGACAACGTTAGATTAGGTAGTTATTAATTACCATCAGATTATACATACCATGCAAACACGTACAGTATCCTAATGTTGGACTAATTTTATGTGCAGCCGGCAATACGCATGAAGCCTTTTAGTGATCATAAACGCCGTTACAAGTTGCAAAATCTTGGTTCTCTCTTACTCTCTAGGGCTTGCATAGTTGCACGAATGATCTGTAACGCGTATATTACAATAAATCTACACAATACACTCAAGTGACCAATACCGAGTCACAGCTCATACATGTAACAAGGTTTAAGCTAATATAAATGAACAATTGTTCTGTAACATTGTGCTCAAGGATTACTTAATGTTGATTTAGCCCATCCTCGACCTTTCAATTAACCGTTATCTTAGATCAAGGGTGACTTTAGAAAGGTTATAAAGTTTTTGTCTGCATCTCTTCTTATAACACTACTAGTCAGTTCATGCTCCCTCGTCAGTTCTTTCTAGCATTTTCATGTAAGTGAATAGAGTTTAACAAATAATTAGCCTTTCTTAATTAATCACAAGAGTGTAATTATGATTGTGGTTGGTTCAATGGTTAGCTTCTTCGTTCATGAACATATAAAAGCATCCCACCTAGTTTGATTATTCCACAAGTATTTCTTGTAGATAGTTCGAGACTACTTTTTATTATTATTATTATTATTATTATTATTATTATTATTATTATTAATTTATTTATTTATATGCTGCAAATTCAGAAAATTAGAAACATCACGGCTGGAATATTTTATTTTTTAAATTGTAGTTACTTAATTTTGGCTCTGTTTGGTAACTCATTTACACGATAAGTAGTAATTTTTGCTATAATTATATGTTGCTCCGGGTTACTATTTTTATAGTAGTGCAACTGCTAATTTTTAAGAGCATCTTATAGTTTGTATGTAGCATGTGTCTTCAATACTTTGTAGTATAATAATATTATTTAATTTATTGTGCAAGTTTATAGCATAATATAATTGACAATTACCTTAGATGGTTAAACAATAACTTTTTTTTCTAAAAGGTCAAGTAAGTGTTCGAACCTTCTCATCCATATATCAATTTCAGCTGCGCTATTACCTTTTCATTTCGGTTAACTTATAAATTTCGATCTCATTTCAATTAGTAAAGTCTACATGCAGGCTGCTTATACCCAACATGGAATAATAGGCCTACATTAATTGCCGGTTCTCTCTAGGGTTTCTTCATCGGGAGAATTTTTCTAGTCTCTATTGCTAGATTTATTAAATTTATTAGGGCTTCCACTGGTATTCTTACTGGTATTTTTCTCTATCCTTGAAATGATGTTAATTATTTTATTGTGTTTAACTTCTTTGTTGTTTTCGTCTGAAAAATTAATATATTGAAGATCTAGGGTTTCATAATCTCCATAAGTATCTAAAGGGCCCGTGATGAAGATTTTCACCCCAAACGACTGTGTATAACTGGGTTTCAAGTTGAATTAGTTCCAACTCACATCTTGTATTGCTTTAGTTGAAGAATTTCATTAAAGAGATTATTGATGAATTCTGCAATGTAATTAGTTCTAGATATGCTCGCTTTGAAATTCTATTGTTTATTATTTTATTGTTTATTTGTATCATGTGGTTGATGGTACCCAACCGATATTAAAATTCTAGCTCCACCACTGATGATAATGATGACCAAAATCCAAGATCTCTTTGTACATTTCGAATGATATCACCTTCTATTGTTGAGTGACCTTTATGGCTCTTAACCGTCCAAATATATACATACATAAATGAGCTCATACATGTGTTACTTAAGCATGCACATATTCACTCAGTCAAACGATTTCTAGATTGTGTCAATTTCAATAATTTATAACCAATCATCAACCATTCATCTCACCATCTGAGTCAATGGAAGGAAGTTTAATTTTGACCATTATAGAGATTAGTTCCCATGTACTAATTCTAAGAATTAAAGTTCCTTGGACATCCCCATTGATATATAGTAAAACATCCAGCACATTTAGTTTTTATTTCGGCTATATGTTGAATAACGTTGATGTAATACAAGGAGACCACAACACATAATTATCCCTATAAATTTAAGTGTGAAACATAAACTATTACCCTTTTAACTTGTTCCCATTATGTCTGTTATATCTTGATGTTTACTTTTTGTACGTACTTTCCTTATTATTGTTATGTGAAAACTACAAATTATATAATATTATTATATATAATATAGTTGTAGTTTATATATATTTCGTCACATGATGATGCATGTATATAGTCAAGAGTCGTCAACAATGATTTGTCAAAAGCTGGAATATATGCGCAACAACCCCACACCCTTAACCTTTTTGGACCTTAAACTTTTGCTTTCTTCATTTATTCCCTCTATTATTATAAGGTTAAAAAAAAAAAAAAATTAGTTACTCCCTTCATACTACGTAAAATATTAACAATTTTATTTTTGGTCTTTTCTGCCCTTTTATTTTCTTATATATACCTAGATTGTAGTGACATGAAATAAACACACACTCACTTTAAGTATTAAGTGTTCTATTACTTAGTGTTACGGAGTAGTATTTTCTTGCAAACTAGCTCATCAATAACCATGAAAAGATCCTCTAACTCCTCATCCAAAAGAGATAGGAAAACCATGGAGAAAGATCGTAGAAACCACATGAAGAACCTTTGTTCCCAACTCAACTCCCTTGTCCCCCAAGATCCTTCCTCCTATCCAAGGGTCTCTCTCGATCAATCTTCTAATTTTTTTTTATGCATTTTACGTTATTAGTATTGCATTATATTATATTGTGCATCATAATACTACCTCGGTTTAAATTTAGTTGCAGTCACTATTAGCTAGTCTAAATTATACTATATGACATAGGAATTAATTATTCTAGACGACAGTCTCACATATACCTTCAAAACCCTACTTCCACCCTGTGAAAGGTGGGAGACATAGCATAGTTTAATTATATCACTAACCTAGCCTAGTTTGTAGTTGTTGAAATTAAATAATTATTAAGATACATTTTAGTGTAACAATATATTTTAGCGTTATATAGTAACATCCGAAATCAAGTTTTCCAATAATTTTGCATGCTCTAGCTACAAAACCCTACTTTTATCTGATGAAAGGTGGGAGGTTTGTACTTGATGAGATTGGTCAGTAATAAAAATTAATTGATGATGTACTACTAATTAAATTATTCATCCTTGCCACAACAAATTAAAATGGTGCAACAAACTAAGAACAAAGGATTATTAATTTGGCTCTTTCATATAATTACGTACACTTACATATGATCAATAGTTATGGTTCTAAGTAACATCTTTAATTTCAACTAATACGTATATGAATTATATGCAGGCGGTTCCTGATCAAATTGGAGACGCGACAAACTACATAAGGCAGCTGCAAGAGAACGTGGAAAATTTGAGGCAAACAAGGGATGAACTGCAGGGAGGCGGAGGATCAAGCGGGAGTGGAGGGGGCTACTCCACGAATTCGCCGGTCCAAATAGAAGTGAATGAAAATGGTAGCGCCTTAGAGGTAACTTTGGTGACTGGATTGGAGTGCCAGTTTGTTTTCACTGAGGCAATCCGAATTCTGCATGAGGAAAACGCTGAAGTTGTGAATGCAAGTTATTCTGTTGCTGAAAACATTGTCTTTCACACCATCCATGCACAGGTATATATATATATTTATTTACGTGGTTTATTATTTTGATTTATAAGTTTATAATAATTACACAATTATTATAAATACTACTTCAATTCGTATTAAACTATGATTACAAGATGGGTAAAATATATGAAAAAATTAGGGCATGCTCTAGCTTGCTAACTGATTTTAACTAAACTTAAATTGGGTTTTTACTAATTTAAATGAATTTTTTAGAAGCTTGATTTTCTCTCTGTTAAAAATTGATAGTTTCTAGTGTATTTAAATTACAAAAACAACAATTTAACTATGATTGTGATGATTATAAGATTATAAAACCACTACTTAATAGTAATTACTGTACTGAAATTAACTTTTGTTTGGAGTACATGTTCGTTTGCAAAATTGAACAATCACCACATGCTTTTAAGCTTCCTTGTTAGAAATTAATTTGAATCTTATTAACCCAAATTATTCTATATATAATTTATTCATAATAAAGTGAACATTATATATATATATATATATATATATATATATATATATATATATATATATATATATATAAAATTGTTAAGAAAATACAGTCCTATATACAATACTAATTGTTACACCGTCCATAATAGTAAGAGTGATTAGAGTGGTAATTATTATTATGTTTTTAAAAAACAGTCCTATTAGGTTTTTTTTTTCAATTTCCTAATAATATGTGCTTAACAAAACTATTTTTATTTGCTGATCAAAATTGAATGCCACTCAACCGAAAATACCCTTGATTGATTTTTAGTTTCTTATAAGTGGAATTGATTTTTTTCAATTAAAACGAAGTACATTTTTAATAGTGGAATTGATTTATATTATAAAAAAAATTAAATTTTAAAAAAAAAAAAAAAAAAAAAACCTAACTCGAATATGAAACCTATATTATGAAACAATTCCTATCTTGTATGTCTTACCACTTTACCAAATTGGAATATATATTTTGAAACTTGAAAAATAACATTGATTTTATAATCTTTTAATTGTAGTTGGGTGAAGCTGCATCAAGCAACGCGGTTGCAAGGATTACTCAGAGGTTGAAGAACTTTGAGCTCTAAGTGTTGGGTTTGGATATATGCTGATTTACCTAGGCATGATGAAAGTTTATGACCTAGGATCCTTAATATAATATGGGTTTTATAAGTAATGTCGATCATTAGATCTTGATATAATAATTTCAAGTGTTCTTATGTGTTTTACATGATGATGGATATCATCTATCTACTAATATAAGCTAGTGATTGTCTTGTATTACTGTTATGCTTCTGATTCGATGTAATCAGCCTATGTAATATATATCTATATGAAATGCTTGCAAAAAATGTCATTTGTGAAAACTTTGTATGGTTAATCATGTCCCTTGTTAACATCTTCTCATGTTTTTTGAGCATTTTGAAGCAATTTTTATCTTTATGCATGTTATTGAGAGCACACAAGATACCAAATCATTGTTGCTAATTCGCCTATGAATTAACTCTCTTTATTTGGAATCAATGTTATATTCATGCATGTTAATGCTAATGAGGTTTATCGATTAATTGTAGTGATAGTTTTGTGATTGTACATGATGACGGTTAAAAAGTGTTAAAAGCAAAAAATTACATTGAGCTAATACTCCGAAAAATACACTATCACAAATACAAGCCCTAAAAAATTTTGACTGTAGATTAAAGTACATTGAGCTAATCATCACCGTAAATAGTTAAACCAAGGCGTGTAATAAAATAACGTAAATTACGGAGTTTTAAATGGAGTAAGTATATTCAAAGGAAAACATAGAGTTTTGAAGATCATACAATGTGTAGGTCAAATAAGGTCAATAAAATTATATACTCGAAGGTATAAATCAAAGTAAATACATACATATAACTTTTTAATACTCCCCCCGTTTTAAATACTCGCTCCACTTTTTTTTTCAACCGTTTTTATATATTTTTTTTGGCAATAAACCGAACTAGATTAGTAATTAAACATCATAAGGTTAAATGGCCAAGGCCATCTTACAAAAGCAACACCCATTGCTAGTGGTGTTGGTACTGGAGTAGGGTACTCTCCCCTACAATTAGTTGTTCCGAGTTTGACAAGTTTGGTCCAAAATGGACATTTGAGCGATTACAGATCAAATATACTTGCTCCATCTTCTTATTTAGAAAGTTTTTATAATATTTAATTCATTTCTCTCACATAGTAGACCAAACATAAATCATATTTTATTAATTTCATATTCTCTCCACTCCAAATCTCTCTATTACTTTTGCATTTTACAATTTTTTAATATTCCACCTACCCACTAAATCCATATTTTATTATTTTCTCCAATTTCTCCTAAAACTCTGCACATGAAGAAATGGAGCAAATATTTAAAAACGGAGGGAGTACGTACACAATTTTACAAAATAAATAATCTCAAAATGTACAATTACATACATACTTTCAAAATAAATAATCTTTAATTAGAAAGACTGTTGAACAAGATTCATTTTAAAATATTTCCCATACATACTATTTACATACATACTTTAAAAATAATCTAGAATAGTACTGGTAATTAATATGTACGCCATTTAAATTGTAAGGTTAATTAACTTTGTTGGAAGGCTTAAATCTTATTGTTTAATTTTTTAAAAAATATAGAACCTTAAAGGAGACAATGAAGTAGGTAAGCAAATGCAGTAAAGAGATATAAGTAAAAAAAACAAATACTCTCTCTCTCTCTAGCGCCCCTCAACCCTTTCGCCTCCCCATACCTTCTCCAGCCATGAGGCTGGCCGGCCGGCGTGCGGCTCACCACCCATGCCACGGCGTCGGTGAGCCTCCGATCTATTCCTTTAGTATGTTTTTTTCCTTTCTCTTTTGCGTTTTAGTTTTCGTTTTGGTTTTTGGTATTTCCGGCCTAGCATCGCGCACCGCTTCCCCTTTTCGGCCGCTCCAGTTCCTCACCGGCCTTGATGCCGGCTTGCCGCCGGTTTTCGTTGCCGCTTCCCCGCCGTGGCTATGCCCCTCCGTTTTGTCCGTCGTTGCGCCGTTGTTTTCGAGAACGGGGAGGGAGATCCCTCTGAGTCCCTCGCGTAGGGCCGTTCCTAGTCCCTCGCGTAGAGTCGTCGCTGCCGCGGTTCAGGGGTGTGGGGGTATGGGCTTCTCGGGCGGGCCTTGGTGGCTTGGGTTTTATTGTCAGGCGGCATGTGGGTTGGGTTGGTGAACCTCGGAGCTTTGGTGGTTGTGCTCGGAGTGGCGGCGGGGTGGGTTATTAGGGTTTCGTTCGTTGTCTTAGTTTTTATGTTTCTTCCTGTTTTCTCTTTTAGGAGTCTTTGTGTGCTTTTTAGTTTTGTTATTTTTTCTGTCTGTGTGGTGTGGTTGGGTGATATGGGGCATGCAGATCGGTGTACCGATCTTATGGTGCAGGATTTAAGCCGGGTTTTTTGGCTATGGGGCTTCGGTTTGATCTTCTATTGGTTTAAACTAAAGGGTTATGCTTCCATGTCGATATCCGTGTTTGAATCGGAGATTGTCTTGTCTAAGGTGAAGTGTACGACACCAATTTTGATTTCGGGTCGAGGAGTACGGGATTCTGAGCCAATGAAGGTTCACGTCAAAAACTACAACATATTGCCAGACCCCCTTGCAAGAGGTTGCATAGGACAGCGTTATATGAGCCAAGGGTACTTAAGAAAGTCATTTTGCGAGCGCAATTGTAGTTTCCTTTATTTCGAACTTGTAATTGGTTCTTTTGTCTTTGTATTGTTCGATTACGATCTCTTATGTAAGTGCCGTATGGCTTATTATTAATGAATTTTAATCTCCCCCCCCCCTTCAAAAAAAAAGAAGTAGGTAAGCATAGTGAAAGATAAACTGATATGAATTTATTAGGATTAAAATCTTGTTTTTGAGAATAATTTTTATTAGGATGTTTCTACAGTGGTCACTTTTATTTGGACTACCACTATACTTAATTATCATTGGATGATTTTTTATTTTTTTTTTTAAAGCTTGGTCAAACCTTAATTTTAGTATTTTTCCTTTTTTAATTCTTTTTATATTTTCCAAAATTTAATTATTGTATTTCCAAAAAACATTTTATAATTTTTGAAATTTATTTATTATAATCAGCTTTTAATTAAATCAAAAAATAAGATTAAATTAAAAAAAAAACAAAATAAAAAAAATTCATAAACGTTCTTCGAAGTTCATCATTGTTCATCGACAATCTTCAACGTCCTTCAAATTTGTTCAACAATCGATGAATTTCTCTATAAATTAAGATCTACAGTCAAGCATCGATGAAGAAACCGATAGAGAAGATCTATATTCGTGCGTGGATGGAGAAAACGAAATAAGATCTACAGTCCCGATTCATATCGGCGTTAATTGTAGAAAACAATATTCACTTGTACAATATCAATCAGTGAATGCAAAAACATCGAATTTATGTATTCAATCACATAAAAAAAAATTTGATTTATTTCGGTGATCTAGGTTATTCAAGAAAAAAAAAAACCAGTTAAGAAACCGTCTCGTTTTTCTTTGAAACGCCGTTTGATCCAAAAAAATTGGAGACCAAATTACAAATCGTGTTTATGAGTAAGGAATTTATCTACTTACGTATAAGACATTACCTATTATATACAGCTTAAATATTAAACGGTTATGCCCCTACGTTATGTTGGACATTACTAATTAATTAAAATTAATGTGAGACCAATACAAAATAATTTTAGTTAAACATGTACAAAAATTAAATTCAATCTAATTTAATTATTTCCTAATTATTAAGTATATAAAAAAAATGGAATCAATATCTTTTAAGATATCTTTTAATATTAGATTTGATAAGAAACTGATCATTGTTTCTTCAAAACTGTGTTGACCCAAAAAATAGAAATCGGATCCGGAATACAGATCTTGTTTGTGTTTAAGGAATTTACCAAAATACGGATAAGACATAACTTATTAGAAACATCTTAATTATTAAATGCTTATGAACATACATTATGTTGGACATTTACTTTAATGCAGTGTACAACCATTGCAAAATATTTTATGCTAAATATGTATAAAGATTTAAATGAATCTAATTTAACTAATATATATATATATATATAAAAGTATGAAATCAATATATTTTAGGATATCTTTTAACTTTAGAAATTAAATATTATTTAAGAAACATTTTAAATCACCAATTATAATAAGGATAGTTACTTAATTTCTTATCTTATTATTATTGTATAAAAGATTTTTAAATCTGTATATTTTTAAATTTGAAAAGATTATATTCAAATGTTATAAAAATATTTATGCGTATATTCAAATTATTTTACGCTGCACATCTTCGTCTTTCTATTGCTTAGATTTGATATTTTTTTTTTTGAGAAAGTGCTTAGATTTGATATGAATACACTTATTGTTAGAAAATTTTATATTTTGCCTTAAATAATATATTTTGAATATATATTCTTTTTTTTTTGTATCTTTGTATTTATAGCTAGTACGGAGTATATATTTAGTCTCCTTTTTGTAAGCTTTTAGTTTCAATATTTGTGTAACTGATCTACTAATTCCTAGCAGTCAGTAGTTACACTCACGCATATGATTAGCAAAATATTTGGCTAACTAATAGCTTGTATTTTGTTATGATAATAGACAGCGACAAAGTTTCATTAAAAAGACTTGAGAAGTAAATTCCTTCACTTTTACTCATATGTTATGATTATTGATTAGAACATATTTTGAATATATATTTTATTAGAGTGTATATATCATATTTGTTAAGCTATAAATATATATACCAAATAATACACGAGTATAATAAAAAAATAAAATAAAAAATTGTTAGTTAGTCTCTCTAAAAGTATTTAATCTAATATTGAAGTATATGCATACATAAAGTAAACCACAATAGTAAATATATATTAATTATCATTTATACCAAACCTGGTTAACCTGATACACTGGTTGTCCAGTGAAGACCACATTCATATTTACTACTCCGTACCAATAAAGAACATAACAAAATGTTAGTGAATTATAAATCAGTAATTGGTAATGTCCAAAAGAACCTAATGTCATATGTTGTTAATAATTACAATTTTAAAAACAGGTAATGTCCTATCCTTTTTTGGGTTAAACATTTACACAAACAAGATTTTAAATTTGTTTTCCGTGTTTTTTGGATCAAACAAGGTTTCGACCAAAGAATGATGCGGTTTCTTTTTGAGATATTCATGACAAACCTCGATTACTGTAAAACTTAAAAATTATGATTTCGATTACATAAAGTCGTCGTTTTGGCAAACTTTGACTGATATTGTACAATCCAAACTTATTATTTAGGGATTTCAATCGCTGCCCAAAATCGCAACGATCCCAAATTTTTTGTAAATTAAAATTTCGGATTTTCTTTTTAGATCGAGCCATATTGTAAATCGTTTTCGATGCGCGAGTGAATGATAATGGACATAGATCATGTGTTCGTGTTTAATCTCTCCATGGATGAAAAAAGTTGAAGAACATTGATGAACTATGAAGAACATGATGAACAATTTTTAACAATTTAATCATTTATTTGATTTAATCTTATTTTTTGATTTAATTAAAATCTGATTTTAATAAATAAATTTCAAAAATATAATAAAATGATTTTTCTATATTTTGTAAAATAAAAAATGAATTAAAAAAGGAAAATACCAAATTTAAGGTTTGACCAAGGTAAAAAAATATAAAAAAATCAACCAATGATAATTAAGAATAGTGGTGGTCCAAATGAAAAGGTCCGTAGTAGAATTTTCGTTTTTATTATACTTTTATCACATGTACTTTTTAAGGTGCTAATTAAATAAGTAGGCAACAAAAGGAAAAATCTAAAAAACTCTCTCGAATGGAATCTGCGCATATGCCCCCCAACCACCGCCAATCCCACCAGAGATTTTAGATCAGGTGGTTAGATTAAATAAAAAGCCAAAACGGAAAACAACTCATGAGTCCTTCAATGGAAATGGGAATCCTGTAATGGCGAATAGTATCATCCAGTTGTTTGATGAGGTTTCTGATGATGATACTCCTCCAGAGGATTTTGAGGAAAATGACAGATGCCCTGTTATTTTGCTCTCGAAGGAGGAGAAAAGAGCGATGCGTAGACCTTGGAGAAATACCCTTATCATCCGAATGTTTAATGGTAGCCTAGGGTATATGGGATTGATGAAGCGATTGAAGAAGAAATGGCAACTGAAAGGAGACATGTCTCTTACTGACATATATAGGTTGCAAATACTTCATAGCTCGATTAACAATCAAGAGGATTATAACTTTGTCCTCACTCAAGGGCCTTGGCTGATTGATGATAGGTACTTAACCATTCGGAAATGGACTTCGACAAATGGAACTGAAGGAATGATGGTGGATCATAACTCAACACCATGATCATGAAAATGGCAAGGAAGCTGAGAAATCATCGAGACCAGAAGAGGAAAAGGACTTTGGGGCATGGATGCTGGTTAAGAAACCAGTAAGGAAACATATCCCGAGAGCTGATAAGCCACCGCCGGATTCCACCAAAGATGGTGGATCCCTGGTCCCAAAAAATCAGGCTACTAAAGGGGAGCCAAACCAAAATTCGAAATCTTCTGGGTCGAGATTTGAGGCACTAAATGGGGAATCCGAGGATCAAGATAAGCAACAGCCTAATATTGCGCTGGAGGATATACATACAGAAGATATGGAAATATTATCTTCTCAATGAATTAGTAAAGATAATATTTTCGACACCACTGTTAATCTTGGTGAGAATTCACAAAAAGATTAATTTCCAAGTAGGAAATAATAAAGCTGGAACTTCAAATGCTAATAAAAATAAGAAATCTCAGAATCCTACTAAAAGTACTTCACAAAAAATTCCTTCCCAAAAAATAATTACCCCATTTAACAAGAGCCAAAATAATCCTACTGGAAAAGAGAACTACTCATTAGAAGCTGAAGGTCCTACAGAAGCAATTAGTTCGAAGTCATACCAACAAGGGACTGTAGTAGTGGAAACAGAGGATATAGGAGAAGGAGACATTGTAAGTAGCCATGGAGTTGTACAGTCAAGAGGTGATTACATTATCAATCCCACCGGAGAAAACTCTATTCGTGGGTCAGACAATGGAAACTCCTTACGTGACCATAGCCGACCCCCTGACTCATGTGATGGAGACATGGATCGAACCAATGCCGGAGCCTCCAGAATTAGTGGTGTACCTCCAGATTCCAGTGGAAATTAATCGAATTATTCCATTAATTGAAGAATCATATTTAAGTAATCCCAATTACTCTATTATGAAATGAATGTTAATCTAGCAAATTTAGCTTCGAACTTTTTACCTATTTCTTGTATGATTTGGAATGTACAAGGAACAGGAAGTAGAGAGTTTATGTCTGCTTTGAAAGAGATTGTTAGAGTTAATAAACCGAATGTGATTACTCTTGTGGAAACACACATGGGAGGGGCGCAAGCTATCAAAATTGCTAATATAATTGGGTATTCTGGCCATACTAGAGTTGATGCCCAAGGATTTAGCGGTGGAATTTGGATTTACTGGCGTAGTGAACTAGTTACAGTAGAGCCTATCCATAAACACAATCAGTATATTACTATGGAAATTAAAAGAGTTGGGGATATTCCTTGGTATTTCACAGCGGTGTATGGTAGTCTAGATCCTTCTAAACGTCAGGAGCTTTGGAGGGAGTTGAGAGATTATGCTGAAAATAATAATGTTCCTTGGATGTTAGCAGGGGACTTTAATGACACAAGGTTTCGATGGGAAAGAAGTGCTAGTTGTGCTGAAACAACTAGGAGATCTGCTCGTTTTAATGAATGGCTAGAAGATATTAGGTTACTTGAAATTGAGTTCAGTGGTGCATCCCACACATGGTCAAGAGGAAATTCTGTTACAACTTGGCAGAGTGCTCGACTTTATCGAGCTCTTTGTAATGGTGATTGGAGCCTAAGATTTCCGAATGCCTCTGTCAAGCATCTCCCCGCAATCCAATCCGATCATTGCCCAATTCGTATTGCTCCTAATGGCTTTGCACCTATTTCAGAAGTGAATAGACCTTTTCGATTTCAAGCCGCTTGGATGTCCCATGAAAAGTTTCGTGACTTTATTGAGACAAAGTGGTAGAAGGATGAGCCTCTTATGCCAAATCTCCATCATCTTGCTGCCGAATTACAAGAGTAGAATAAATCGACGTTCCACAATATTTTTAAGAAAAAACGCAATCTTATGGCCCGTATAGCAGGGGTTCAGCGTGCTCTTGCTCTCCAAAAGGCAAGGGATCTAATAAAGCTTGAATCTAAATTAAGGGTGGAGCTAGATGAAGTCCTTGCGCAAGAAGAATTGTTATGGTACCAAAAGTCGAGAGTGGAATGGATTAAAGATGGTGATCGTAACACCACCTTTTTTCACCTAAGCACTATAACTTGTCGATGGCGCAATAAAATTTCTGCTATTAAGGAGAATACTGATGGTGACTGGCTAACCGAAAAAGATGAAGTCCAAAATCACATTGTCAATTATTTTAAGGCCTTATTTGACAGTGAGGAAGTACAGCCACATGATGACTTACCTCGTGACATTTTCCTTGAGTTTACAACGCAGGATTGGAATAGTTTATCAAGGCCGTATATTCAATGTGAAGTTGACAGAGCAATTAAAGAGATGGGTGCCCTTAAAGCTCCGGGACCCGATGGTTTTCAAGTGTTATTTTTCCAGAAAAATTGGGATCTTGTTGCAAAGAATGTTTACTCTCTTGTATTCGATGTGCTCAATGGGAAAGGAATGCCGCACAACTTGAATGAGACCTTTCTAGTGCTCATTCCTAAAGTCGACAACCCAGAGGTAGCATCTCAATTTCGCCCTATTAGCTTGTGTAATGTGGCTTATAAAATCATTACAAAAGTGATAGTTAATCAAATTAAACCCATGATGCCTCATCTCACTTCTAGTAAACAAACTAGTTTTGTGTCGGGGCGCCAAATTACGGATAATATAGTAATAGTGCAAGAAGTAATTCACACTATGAAAAATAAGCAAGGGAAAACCGGGTTCAGGGCTATAAAAATAGATTTTGAGAAAGCCTATGACCGATTGAGATGGGATTTTATCCGAGACACTTTGATGGAAATTCGTTTCCCTATGTTACTTGTGGATGCAATTATGGAGTGCATAACTACTTCATCAATGCGTGTATTATGGAACGGGGAACCGACTCAAGCTTTCTCTCCTAAGCGTGGCATTAGACAAGGAGACCCTTTGTCTCCTTATATCTTTGTACTATGTATGGAACGGCTCAACCAAATAATTGAAGAGTCAATTATTCTTAAATCGGTGGAAACCTATAAGGGCTAGTAGGAATGGCCCTCAATTGTCGAATCCAGCGTTTGCTGATGACATCATTCTATTCGCTGAGGCTACATTAGAACAAGCAAATTGGGTCAAGCAATGCTTGAATCGTTTCTGTGCAGCATCGGGGCAGAAAGTCAGTCACTCTAAGTCAAGAATTTTTTTCTCGGATAACACATCTAATCAGCAGCGTAATAGCATCACTGAGCATATGGGGATAGAGCAAACAAACGACTTGGGGAATTACTTGGGAATGCCTACCCTCACTAGCCGAGTCACTAAGGATACATTTGGGTATCTTTGTGAGAAGATTGATAGAAGATTGTCGGGGTGGAAATCAAAATACATCTCCCTAGCAGGAAGAATAACTTTAGCAAAATCAACGGTCTCAACTATGGCTTCCTATGCTATGCAAACCGCAAGAATACCAAGAACTATTTGTGATGATATTGACAAACGTACTAGAAGATTCATTTGGGGTGGAGATGAAGAAAAGCGTAAAATTCATCTTATTTCTTGGGAGAATCTCCAAAAACCAAGAAATATGGGTGGTTTGGGTGTTCGAAACTCAAGAGAAACTAATGCGGCTTTTTTTACTAAGCTGGGTTGGAGAGTCCTCACTGAACCTCATGCTCTTTGGGCTAGTGTTCTTCGTAGCAAATACTGCAAGGGAAGGTGTGATGTGGATATGTTTGAACCAAAAGCAAACATGTCTAATGTATGGAGGGGAATTACGGAAAATGCAACTACAATCTCAAAGGGTGCTCGTGTGGCGGTTAGTGATGGAGCCAAAACGCTTTTTTGGGATCACAGATGGGCTAGTTCGAAGACTCTAAGGGAGTTAGCAATTAATAGCATTCCATTAGATATTGAAGGAGCTACGGTTGCGGAGATGTGGGAGCAATTAGGATGGAAGTGGGCTGTTTTTGCGGATTTATTACCTCAAGACAGTTTACGTGAAATTGAGTCTCATAGCCTAATTAAGAATCCGGAGCAGGGTGACTTAGTATATTGGTAGAATGGTCCCCAAGGAAAATTTTCCATCAAATCTGCCCTCCAAATTATTTGAAGTGATAGTGAGAATCAAGAAGATGGTTCTTGGGAGCTTAATTGTTTGGAGACTCAAAGTTCAACAAAGAATCCGGGTTTTCCTTTGGCTGGTATTACATGATAGAGTGATGACTAACTCTAATCGACTCAAAAGATCTTTGACAGAGGATCCATGTTGTAAGTTGTGTGCTGAGGTAGAGGAAAGTACTCTTCACACATTAAGGGATTGCAAAGCTGCTAGGGAGGTGTGGAGGCAAGTAGGAGGGCCTGCCAATGCACCAAATTTTGGAAACGGTACGCTAAAGCAATGGCTTATTCGAAATATCAAGGTACAATATCGAAACAATCTTTCCCCTGAAATTTGGCCTACTTATTTTGCTATTGTCATTTGGTGGATTTAGAGATGGAGATGTGCTGTGGCTTTTGGGAGAAATAGTGAAATACCAGTTGATGATGTCAAGCAATTTTTGTTAGAACGTTTTGAAGAGGTGTGGAAGGTAATGGGGGATAGTTCAACTGACAACTCCCAAATAAGGGCAAGAAGAGAGGCTTTCATCAAATGGACCGCTCCGCCTATTGGGTGGTTTGCCCTGAACTCTGATGGCGCAACTAAGGGCGCCCCAGGGCCAGCTGGTGGAGGGGAAATTATAAGGGACTGCACTGGTAGACTCAAATATGCATATTCTCTAAATCTTGGCAACTGTAATGCATTCAAAGCAGAGGTGCTGGCAGCTGAATATGGGATGGAATTGGCAAAAAAAAATGGGCATTAAGAAGCTACAAATACAAATGGATAATATGGCAGTAGTGCAAATCCTTACTAATGATGCTGATAATTACAATGGTGAATGCATACACGATATTAACCATTGTAGGAATCTTATTATGATGCAAGATTGGGAGGTTCAAGTGAAGCACGTTTATCGGGAAGCAAATCAAACGGCAGATTGGTTAGCTAATCAAGGAGTAATTCAGAACAACAAATTTCAGTTGATTCAAGTCCCCACCCTAGCTCTAGGGCGTATTTTGCATAACGATGTAGTAGGTGTGGCTGCGCCACGTTTTATTCCTCCTTAGTAGTATTAGTTTTTTAATTCCCGGGGCCTTGCCCCTCATGTGCACCAAAAAAAAAAAGTAGGCAACAAAACAGAAGACACATCAGTAAGTATTGCAAGAATTAATTAAATTAAAAGACAAGAAAAGAGGAATACATTTTTTTTTTTTTGAAGGGGGGAGATTAAAATTCATTAATAATAAGCCATACGACACTTACATAAGAAATCGTAATCGAACAATACAAAGACAAAAGAACCAATTACAAGTTTGAAATAAAGGAAACTACAATTGCACGCGCAAAATGACTTTCTGAAATACCCTTGGCTCATATAACGCTGTCCTATGCAACCTCTTGCAAGGGGCTCTGGCAATATGTTGTAGTTTCTGACGTGAACCTTCATTGACTCAGAATCCCGAACTCCTCGACCAGAAATCAAACTTGGTGCCATACACTTCACCATTGACAATACAATCTCTGATTCAAACACGGACCCTAGCTTGGAAGCATAACCCTTCAGCCCAAACCAACAGAAGATCAAACCAAAGCCCCATAGCCAAAAAACCCGGTTCAAAACATGCACCAGAAGATCGGCACACCGATCTGCACACCCCATAGCACACAAACGCACCACACAAGAAGAAAAAATAACAAACCCTAAAGAACAACACACACAACGACTAAAATAAGAAACAGACAGAAAATTAAAAACGAGAACTACAAACGAAACCCTAGCAAACGACCCCGCAACCAATCCGAGAACACCATCCAAGCACCGAGGTTCACCAACCCAACCCACAAACCACCGTACAGGAAAGCCCGACCCGCAGGAACCCGCCCGAGAAGCCCAAACCCCACACAACCCTGAACCGCGGCAACGACAGCTGGAAACACCAGACTGAAAACGGCCCTACGCGAGGGACTTAGAGGGAGATAACTCTCCCTCCCTGTTCTCTTGCGAAACGTCGCGACGACGACGGCCAAGGCGGTAGAGCAGAGACACGGCGGGGAAGCGGGGAATAAGAGCGGCGGCAAGCCGGCAACAAGGCCGGTGAGGAATAGCGGCGGCCGGAGAGGGGAAGCGGCGCAAAAAGCTAGGTCGACCGGACCAAAAACCAAAGCGAAAAAAGAAAAAAACACCTCAAGGAGGTAGATCGGAGGCTCGCCGACATAATGGCATGGGCGGTGAGTCGCACACCCGCCGGCGAGCCTCATGGCCGGAGCGATTTTGAGAAGGCGGTTGGGTTTTTTGGGGGAGAGAGAGAGCGTCCTTTAATTTCTCTTTGAAAAGAGGAAGACACTTATATCATTAGATTTGGCAAAATATTTTTTAAAAATAAAATATTGTTGCGCCAATTTTGGCTAACTAAGTGTAAGGTGTTGATGAAAAGCATTAATGGATATGCTTCTAATATGAGTATATGAGTATATCAGTATATGACAAACTGTCATAAAATCAACACCTAGAGATTTTTTAAATTTGTGATGAATATGATGATATATGGTGAAATAGATATGGATCATACATTCATACCCAATTTAAATTACTCCTTTTGTCTCTTAACTTGAGTGTGCATAATCGTAATTTAATTATATACTTGCATCATGATGTTTTTATTTTTTATTTTTAAATATATAATATGCTCCTACATAAGAAATTAAACCAAAAGTACAACTTATTAATTAAACCTTTAGATCGAACAACCAAAATACCTTGAATTTGACTGTACTTGGTATATAATAATGGTTGAAAAGGTGATCTGAGAGGTGGTCTCAGTGAATTGCCACATAGAAATTGAAGGCACTATCTTCATCACGTATATTAAAGCTAGCCAACACGCCTTTTTCTATACTTTGCATGGCGCGCTAACCAGCCTATGAAACCATCTTATATATACCTGGGCAGCTGGGCTACGATGAGATCCTATAATTTTGTGCTTGAGGCTTAAACCAACTTAGCCACATTAATTTTGACAATATATATTGAATCAATTTTATTTTTTTTCGAAAGATATAAATTGAATTAACTAATGTTAAGGTTCTGTTCTGATTGACTAAACTGAGTTGAACTGAGCTGAACTGAACTGAATATTTTATGAGAGAAGGAAATTAAGATAAAAACCTCACTGAACTAAATTTATTGGAGATGAATTGAACTAAACTGAAAATAATTTAAAGAGAACAGGCCCTAAGTCTCATGAAGTCATGATAAACAACCTGCTAGTTTGCATATACTTCGTATTTATTATCTCAACTCTGAACTCATCCCTTATTTCACTGTTAGGAATATTATTGTGATATATTTTCCATATAGATCTTATGATATTATATTTAGGATAATAATATATCTTAGTTATATTCTAATATAGATTTATGGAAGTTTATATGATAGAGTTTATGTTGTGTAGGTTATCTTATATAGGCTATAAATAATAGCCAAGATCATCAATACAATTCAAGCTATTCTCTGTTGATGTCGCCTTCAATTTTTTCAAAAAAACAAAAATAAAAAAAATTGCAAAAGACCACGGACACCAGCAAAGGGCCTGGCAAAGAAGATCACGGACACCAGCAAAGGGCCGTGGCAAAGAAGATTACGGACACCAGCAAAGGGATGTGGCAAAGAAGACCACGGACACCAGCAAAGGGCCGTGACAAAAGACCACGGACACCAGCAAAGGGCCATGACAGAAGACCATGGACACCAGCAAAGGGCCGTGGTAGCAAAAGTTTTTTGTTTTTTTTTTTTAAATAAAAAAATTGAAGGCGACATCAACAGAGTAGTGCAACTCGATCGACTTCAACAAAGTGCGAATTTCCAATCATAACGTTCGTGTTACTGCCGTTACGATTGCGGGAGGGTGTTAGGAATATAGGAAAATATATTATTGTGATATATTTTCCATATAGATCTTATGATATTATATTTAGGATAATAATATATCTTATTTATATTCTAATATAGATTTATGGAAGTTTATATGATAGAGTTTATATTGTGTAGGTTATCTTATATAGGCTATAAATAATAGCCAAGATCATCAATACAATTCAAGCTATTCTCTCATAAATAATTTGTCATTCACAGACTTAGGGCATGTTCACATTTACTTAATTTCAGTTCATTTCAGTTCAACTCTTAATTTCCCTCTCTCATAAAATATTCATTTTAACTCAGTTCAGTTCAGTTTAGTTCAGTTCAGCTCAATTCAGTAAATGTGAACAGACTCTTACATATAGATGAAGAATACTTAAATCATTTATATTATTAGATGGGGTCCAGTAATAGATAGAGTAGAGGATTATAATCTATCATATGCATTAGCAGAGCAATATGAATATTATGGGACCAATAATTATTGGCCTCCTTCTTGTCTCTTTAAGATACTTGTAATTAAGTTTTTTGTTGTAATATATAAGTGTGAACCTTAGCTTTTACTACATCAGTCTTTGAATTTATGACGTAATTTGTTCCCATTATATATACATACATACATACATGTATAAGTATCTTGGTGTCACAAATTAAACTAGCAACACTCATTGTTTTTATGTAATTAATATTTTTTTATTCATTTACGACACATGCTTCTTACATATTTAGTCAAACATGCATCCCCACACGGCCTCGCACATTACCCAACTTTGGAAACCTTTATATAATTATATTTTGTATGTTCTACCTTATATTAAATTTATTCATAAATGTGTGTTTACATTTCTACCTTCTTACTACTTATAAATATCTATTGAATTGGCATGCTTAGCTAAGGAAAAAGTACTTGTATTGTATGCTCATCAAAAACAATGATGAGCAACTCCGCTAAGTCTATTAAGTCTTCCTCAACCAAAAGAGATAGGAAAACCGTAGAGAAAGACCGAAGAAACACATTGAAAATCCTATATTCAGAACTCAACACCCTTATTCCTCGCGATGATGCCTCCTCTCCTAAGGTTTGTGGTCTCTCTATATATCTCTTTCTCTAGCTCTCTCGTAGATGTCTTTGACTATATTCTGTCTGTCTCTAAAAGTCCTTCCCATTTTTTTATATGAAGAAATCCTATTTTGATTGATTTTTAAGGTTATCACTATCAATAATAAAAATAAAAAAACTTTTAGTCAGATCAGAGAGAGTATGGAGTAGTATATAATACATACAATGCCACAATGCAATAATGCACTATATCAACATGATAATAATAACAAATAGAGGGCATATTAGTGTTACTACCTCTCCTTTGTTTGTATTTAGTTGTTACACTAGTCAACAATGTTATTAAAATCCCGATTTAAATCTTAAAATCTTACAATTTTACGATTCATGTATAGCATACGATTCGATATACGATTCTATTCGATTTTACATATTTTTCTGAACTAGCGAAATCCTTACAAGTAAAAAACATTTTTATATAGGTTTTTATGAATATATATTGTCAAGTATTGATTGCTTAATGGTTAAATAACTATTATCTATCAATAATTAGGTTTCAAAATCATAATTTCAATATATTTAATTAAATTTATATTTGACGTCTTGATTATTCATGTCGGTAGAATCTTACGATTCTACGATTCGATTCTATTAGCCCCTTCTAATTCAAAGTAGAATCCCGATTTTAATAACTTTTTGCTAGTCAATATAATTACTACCTCCGGTTTAAATTACTAGCAACTTTGGAATATTTTATATCTCACAAATAATACCCCAAAGTTGCGAGTAATTTGGATCGGATGTAGTATATTACTACCTCCGTTACATATTATTTGCAATGATTAGACATTTTTCCTCTCTACTTTATGTCAAATCGTTGCAAATAATATGTAACGGATGTAGTATATGTTACACCATTAACGTACCATTGACGATGATGGTATACATGTATATTTACAGGCAATTCCGGATCAAATAGATGATGCTACAAACTACATCAAACAACTAAAATCGAATATCGAAAATTTGAAGCAAACCAGGGATAATATTTTGGGAGTTGGAAGAGTATCAAGTAGTAGAACAAGTTATTATTCGAAGAATTCGCCGGTCCAAATTGAAGTGAGACTAAATGGAAGTGCCCTTTTGGTGACTTTGATTACGGGGTTGGAGTGCCAGTTTGTTTTCACTGAGGCAATCCGAATTCTTCATGAAGAAAATATTGAAGTTGTTAATGCTAATTATTGTGTTACCGGAAATATTGTCCTTCATACAATTCATGCACAGGTATATACGAGTACTCGATCTCTTTTGTGGCTAGTCAATAATAAATAGTGGTAATGGTAATGCTTATATTACATTCACCTTTTCGCATGAATTATATTTTAGTTATTGTTAACATGGAAAAGTTTTGAATTGAGTTGTTTTAAACGGCAAATTTAAATTTTGCTGAAAAAGCTGATTTTCTTACCAACAAAATAAGCTGATTTTAAACGACAATTTTAAATTTTGCTGAATAAGCTGATTTTCTTACCAACAAAATAAGATTATCATAAAATTCATAATGTAATGAAAAGTGATTATATTTATCAAATGAATTTTTTAAGCTATACTCCATTTTAAAAGTCTAGGTACAGATAATGAGATAATGCTCCGTAGACCTTGGAATTAAAAAGCAGTACACGTGTAGCAAATCCTCAAATCTAAAAATAAAATAAAATAAAGTAATTAAGTAAATGTAATATTTCATTTTCATCTGTCTTTTTCATTAACTAACTAAAATTATTAAGAAGATAAACAAAATTATCTTTCTTGTATCTAAAAAGGAAGTTAAAGTTATGTTTTTACAATTGTGTAGATTGGTGAGGCTGTGACAACGGATACTGTTGCAAGGATTACTCAGAGGCTGAAGAAATTTGAGCTTTGATTAATGGTTTTGGACTGCCTAATTAAGCTTTGATTGATTGAAGAATTTTTTTTTTTTTTTTTGAAGCTTAAATTTAAATTGAGTACATAAGCTGTACGGGAGAATCGTTAAGTAGCGAAAATCTTGTGTTATTATTATGTTTGTAAATATACTGATGTCTTCACAATGTGTATTGAACTGACTAAAACATTATTCGAATTGACTTGTCACATTAGTAATTCAAATTACATTGTTAATGATATTATATAGCTTAGCTAGCAATGCGGGTTGCCAAAAAATTATAATGTATATTGTTGAAGAATAAACCTCTCAAGTGTCACCATATGTAAGTGTCCCACATTGGTTAAAGAAGAGAGGATTAAACACTTTATAAGGCTAAGGGGCTACCCCTCCTATCGCCATATGGTTTTGGGATGGAACCTCCTTGTACTTGTGAAGTGGACTCTCTCTCTTGGTTTGCGGGTGCGGCCCAGACCCGCGTTTAATATGGTATCAGAGCCAGACCCACGGTATGGGACCTCTAATGGTTTGAGTATATTGCCAGGCCCAAAGTTTGGACCTTTAATGACATTAAGTATTCTGGGCCAAATTGAATTGGATCAAGTGATCCTTGAGTTAAAGGGACCTTACATGTGAAGGGGAGTGTTGAAGAATAAACCTTTCAAGTGTCACCATATGTAAGTGTCCCACATAGGTTAAAGAAGAGAGAATTAAACACTTTATAAGGCTAAGGGGCTACTCCTCCTATCGCCATATGGTTTTGGGATGGAACCTCCTTGGACTTGTAAAGTGGACTCTCTCTCTTGGTTTGCAGGTGCGGCCCAGACCCGCGTTTAATATATATGTAATTTAATTTGTGGTAGTCCAATCTCCAAAAACTATATATGATCATTCGTCAACAATATTCTATCTTTGATTTCATTTGGACAATGTGCATTACAATTAATAAGTGATTACTCCTTTATTTTTAGCTTAAAAATCAAAACTAGATATTTCACATAATTAATATATGAGCATAATGCACCATTGCACAACCTATACCTACCCACTTAATGTAATTCGAACATTACAAACTATTATTTGCATGTGATGCATAATAATTATAGCATGAAAATAGAAAATTAAAATTTAAAGTTGATTATGTGAGTCACTATCGGCTAATATTATTACAGAGTATCTCCATGATTCTGATCTGTACATATATATTTCCTAACGGTAAACTATAGAAAGGGTTCCTCACCCTATCACAGGAATGGGGGCTATGGGGAAATCGAACCCCATCACTTAGTAAGGAGATGCTCCTTTGATTTATACATATGAGGATATATATATGATGTCCGCTTTTCTCATCTTTTCATTGTATAATTTGTTTCAATGCTTAATTTGGTAAATATTAATTTTCTAGAATAGTATTTTAGGTTAAAAGTATGGATTAATTACACGGGTAACAAGTGAAAACAAAGGTTAGTACAAATTTTTGCAAGTGGGATGAAGTAATAAAGGTTAGTACCAATCGTTGTAAGAAGGATGAGTATTGAAGATTTCTATGAAGTAACGAGAGGTGGGTAACTACCACTGTCCACTGTATTATACGGTTATACCCATTGTGAGGAAATACTACATTTATCATTTTTCTTTTTCTTTCCAAACCTATTTTTTTATTCCCTTTGTTCTTGTCATTAAATCTTGTCCATATCTTATTGAATGTGAAATTGGGTTAAATGCAGAAGAATTAAATAAAATATACTTTTAAGAGAATACTAAGTACAAATGATCAAAGTAGCTCGGCCCGTTGGCCCGATCTAATTTTGGGTAGAATTTTTCTGCCCAAAATTGGACCCGGCCCGGTCCAATATCTATTTTTTAAAAACGGGTTTGGGAATGCGTTTTTATGAAGATTTAGTTTATTTTTTAGGCCCGGCATGAAAAGCTCGCACGCCTCGACCATTTTGGGTGGGTTTGGGCTCGAACCTGAAACTTGGCTCGGCCCGTCCCGCCCAAATAATCACCTCTAATACTAAGTGAGCAAAAGAGCAAGTTAGTAAAAGTGAGATTATATAGTGTGCACATAGTATAATTGGTATTAGCTTTAAATACACCTAAGACCTATCCCATCATGATTGTACTAGCTAGAGCCGAGCACAGATGCACAACCCCTTTATTTGTTGGATTAATAGCTTTAAAAGTCTTGTTGAAGATTCCCTTGGGATTCTTTCTATGTTACTATGATGAGCTGTGTAAACAACTTTAATAAACCCTAATTGATGGTGCATTATGAGGGTGTTATATTGAAGGTTACTAACTATTCAATTGATTTTCTCAATTGATTGTTGTGAGACTAGTAAAATCTTTTGGGATTACAAGTAGCTTATATAAAGCCATTTTTATTGTTGGTAAAACACGTATTCTATGACGTTGTGTTTTTCTTCTTGATTATTGAGCAAAAGCTTGTGTGGCTCCAACCTCTCACCCTTAAGTACATGAGTATGTGGAGTGATGTTAATCTTGGGGAACGAGCTTGCTATAACGCTTTGTACTCTAGACTAGCCAAATCCCGTTTTCAAGGCAGTGATTTTTCCACGACATCACACATGCCCAAATCTTCAAATTATATTTATAATTTATCCTCCTTACTTTATTAATCTTCACTCTCTTTACTTGTAGCCTTGATATTGCCTTTATATCCTACACCCATCAAGTTTAAGCCATGTTGTGTCATGAGCTTAGATGAGCAATGATTTGTTATTTGGGCTCAGCCCAATATAAGCACGAAAGAATTGATAGCAAAACAGTTTAACACGAAAATTGAAGGATAGTCCAATGGAAAGGCTATGCCTATGTGTCACATATACATGGGCCAAGATTTCGAGACGAGTACTCCTTACCCCCAACACGGCCTAGTGCCAATCTTATGACTATCACTGTAGTCTGCTATTAGAAGCCCACGCATGAGATTGAAGTAGTAGTAGTCCATAGCACCTCAAGTATGCACGTCGATTTGATGTTGAAGTATTTCCTACCAAATAACACTTACACCATTTTGATCAATAATGCATTGGTGTTTTATACTCCCTCCGTTTCATAATATAATTCGGTATTAGTCTTTAAATATTTTTAACCAAATAAATATTTAGACTACATACCCCTGCAGATGGAGTGGTTTAATAGGTAAAATGGCAATTTCGTGGATAGCCCGCTGCCTTTACGTGTCATGCCTTGGATGATGGGGCTGGTGTAGTCGTGTAGAGGTCATTAATTTTCATGTTTCTTTAGAAAGTTACGCTCACAAGAGGTTTATACGTCAGGTGCAAAATATGAGGAGAAAATTATGCTAAGCTAAAATTTAGCAATGCAAGTATATTATACAATATTATCCATGCAGCAGATAATAATGAGTGTATCATATCCTTTGACCAATCTCCCTCCCGTGTATTTCTTTAGCGTAACTTGCAATTTTTAATTTTTTTTTTTTTTAAAATTTTTTTTTTGAGGGGTTGCAAGTTTTAATTAATAAGCACTCGTCATTGCAATTTTCGACCAAAAATTTAATGGCGAAGAGTACTTGTATAAACTCAACTATATAGAGTACTTTAGTTTGAAGAGGACTAGTCTAGATAAAAAGTGGATTGCACAGAATTATTACATGCATCCCTATAAATCTTTTTAAATCCCTCTAACCTCAGTGTCATATAATCGTTCTCTTTAATTTATACCCTTAATTAGACAAGTTTGATTAATCACACTTGCACCATAATGATAATTTTACTTTGTTTTTACTCATAGTTTACTAAGAATTTCTTCTCTTTTTTTTCCCCCTTTGAAACACTTCACTTACACTGTAAATCATCAAATTTCGGCATATTGCACACATACATTTGCGTGCGCCTCTAAACTGAAAGAAATTAAATATAAAAATTATACGTTGATTTGAACATACATTTGCTACATGAACTGAAATAGCCTTTAAATAAGTTAATGAATAATGATAGATAACTAAAGATGAAATTAGGAAACCACTATGTAACCCACTAAACTAACTAGTACGGAGTAACAATGAACACGTGAGAACAAAAACACTAACTAAACTTTGAACTTACTAGAAGAACTACTTCATACATTATTTGATTAAGGGCTGGGGGCGCTTGGTTATTAGAACAATGAAAACGAAGTGGAAAGGAAATAAATAAGAGGAATAGAAATCATGTAATTATTACTTTTTTCATTTGTTTGATTTAACTATGGAAAGAAATCCTTTAGTGTTTGAGGAGGCTAAGAGTAATTATCACCTTGGGTTTTAGAGTGGTAACAAATGGGTGGAATCCTAAACCTTAATTCCTTAAGTAAAGGTGATTATTACCATATCTCTTAACCAAATATTCAATAACGGTAATAGTTTAACTGAATATGCTCTAATTTAAGCATGAAAATACAATTAATACATTTCTAACAATAAGGCAACAACTACACTCACACGGGATTCAAAGAATCATTAGCTGAATTAATTGTCATTGCAATTATATATAGGTCAAAAAAGTTGTAATTAGGTAATTGAGAATATAATTGCTTAGTAATATTTCCAAAGTGTGTTGCATATCCATAGAATGAACTTAATGTCCCTGAATTGGGGCATTTTTTATGATTTTAAAAAGGTTTATCTTTGGAATCATCTATTTGCAATTGCATGGCCAACTTGCCGTTAATGCTACAATTGCAAGAAGTTAAGTTACTCTACTTTGTATTTGTAGTAACGCTTGGTTGGCAAGAAGCCAAGAACCCATGCATTAGCTCCGAATAAGTTGTAGCCTTTTTGACACAAAGCTCTATGATTTAATTCTAACGCAATGTGTTAAATATATTACAATTAGTCTAACGGCTAAAATTATAAAAAAGATTAATCAACAAAAAGATCTTAATTATAAAATTATAAAACATTAATAGAACAAAACAAAAAGATTAATCAATACTATAAGTAGTAACCACTGAATTTTGTCGCGCAATGATTTGGTCCAAGTCGGGCACTTTAATTAAGTTAATCAAAATAACCTTTTTACTGTGAGTGATCATTAGGTCATGTTGGAATTTTCGGTAATACTAGAAAGATCTTATAGTACGAGTATAAACTAATTCGTGAAGATTATTTAAGGGATTGTGTATGAAATTGAGGTTCAAAAAAAAGCATTTGAAGTCCATTTTATTAAACTAGCAGGTTATCTTAAGTTTAACCATCATTTTTAAACGCACAAATTCACAACTCAAGTATTAAAAAATAAATATATAAACGCACACACAAAGGTCACACACAAATTATGTAGATTTAAGATAAAAAAAAAAAAAAAAAAAAGTTATGGATCTTAATTAGGCTCTTGATACCATGTTAAAGGATCATCTCAACCAAAAGCTTAAACTAATGGTTAAGACCTATGATTATGTTTTATACTCTATCACAAATTTATTTAGGCAAGTATTAACTTATTTCAATCAAAACAAATCTTATTGTTTGTCACTAAAATCTATGGGCCGATTCACTTGAACTTAATTTCAGTTCAATTCGACTCATATTTTCCTTCTCTCATAAAACATTCATTTAAGCTCTATTCAGTGCAGTTCAGTTCACCTTAGTTTAGTAAATGTGAATAGGCCGGCTCTAAGCATTTTTAATTTTATGTTAAAAAATTTTTTTATTTAAACAAATATAATTTGTTTGTCTCATAATAAACATTCATTTCATATAAATTTTTTTAAGGAAATCATATCAATGTTTCCACACAAAAAATAATAATTTGTGAGCAATAGTATTTGAACCCATGACCTAATTTTCATTAAAGTTAAACTTTAACCATCACTCTAACAACAAATCTTATGATAATAAAGTTGTATTAATAATAGTTATTCATGTTCATAAATTCAAAAATTTTAATTGCCAACTTATATGTGTATATTTTGACAACAATATAATTATAAAATTAATTTCATTTCTTTCCATTACTCAACCTTTAGTATATGGTTATATACATATATTTAAGTATTAAAATGTGTAACCCAAATTTAAATTAAGGTTTTTTCTTTTAAGCACGAAATTTGTTACTAGAAGGAATTTTAATGATAAATAGCTGGAAATAGTAAATCCCTTTAACAAGTAAAACAAATTGATACGATATAATATTTATTTTAACCACGAAATATGTTACTTGAAGAAATATTTTTTATGATATATAGCTTGAAAAAAAAATATCCCTTTAACAAGTAAAATAAATTGATACGATATAATATTTAGGTTACTTCATATTAAATAATGAATTAACAAATGGTCGATATTGTTTTTATAAAACCACCAATGTATTTTACTTTTTTAATATAGTATTTTTATATACATACAATGACCCGAGGCAGCGCCCAGACCAAAAAACTAGTTACAATTTACAAAACACATCAACTCATGAAGTCATGAATCATGATGCCAACCTTAATCATGTATCTTTATAGTAAAATCTAATCTTGTAATATAAGTAGTTATTTAGGATTATAATAAATCAAATCTCCCCACAAATCCCCACTCATCTCAACTCATTAAGATCACTCCCGAGTCCATTAGCCTCCTTGTATGTGAAAATTCGACAATGTCTTGAATTCTAGTGCAAGTGTGCAACAACAATGACAATGGTGACTATGGTCAGCAAGTCATAATTAAAAAAAGTGTACAATTTTACCATAATCCAAATCATGACAAACTTAACCCAAAGGTAAAATAAATAAAAAAGAGTGGTGAAACAATGTCACAAATCCCACATTTTTAACCACAGTTCACTTTATGATTTTATCCATCTCAAGCTAACTTGACAATTCCTTCCCTTAAACCCCTTCTATAAATGAAGCACCATTCCACTCTAACCCTCCAAATCCTTCTACTTTCTCTGTCCTCTTCAATCCCATTTCTTCACAAAATCATGGGCAATTTCTCTCTTCCCCATGCACTCTTTCTCTCTCTTCTAGTCCTATCACTAGCTACTACCTCCTTCACTGCTACTACTGATAATAATGAGCTAAACACCCTTCCTTACGCTCTCCCTTCCTCCGCCCCTGCCACCGCCCCAACCCACCACCAACACCACACTCTCTCTCCTTCCTCCGCCCCCACCCACCATCACCATCACCACCACAACAAATCTCACTCACCTTCCTCCGCACCCGCACACGCACCCGCTGCCGCCCCAACCCACCATCACCAGTCTCACTCCCCTGCCTCCGCACCCACTTCCCACCACTACAACCACTCTCACTCTCACTCTCCTGCCTCTGCACCCACTCCCCACCACCACCACCAGCACCATCACAACAAGTCTCACTCTCCTGCCGCTGCCCCAGCACACTCACCAGCTAAGTCCCCGTCTTACCCGCCAACAAAGGCGCCTGTTCCTGTTCCTGTTCCAGCTCCTGCTCCTCACCATGTAATGCCGCCTAGGAAGTTGGTGGCTGTTGAAGGTGTTGTTTACTGTAAGAATTGTTCTTATTCTGGTGTTGCTACTCTCACTGGCGCCTCCCCTCTTTCTGGTTTGTTTCTCCCTATCCATCTCTTCTTTTTTATTTTACTCGTTTCCAAAACTTTTTCCTGTTCGACCTTAACACACACCATCCAACAGAAATACTATCTTCGTTACATATTATTTGCAACGATTATACATTTATAAAATCGTTTCTGGAGGTTGTATTTAAATGTAAGAAATATTAAGATGAAAGACATTACAAATTTAAAATGTAGCATAAAGATTTTTTTGCTTGTAGTATTTGTGAGGGAGTTTTTTTTTTTACAGATCTCTTTAATTCATGAGTAGTACGGAGTAATACGTATGGGTTTAACAATGTCTTAAAAGTCACTTTCGAGATAGTACGTCCTTTTTTGTTACCCGTGACAAGAATTCAAAGAAAATACTTGACTATGTATTACTTCGTATGGTTTATGGAGTATTTACAAGTATAAGTAACTTCCTTAAAACGAGCATAATATAACATTATGTACATTAAATAAAGGGTTTATTATCACTGCTCTCAAACAAAAAGATTATGGTATGTAGATTACATTGTTTAAAATTAGTCATACTCTAATAGTAACAATTAGATCTCCCACAATAGAGGAAACTTTATTTGTAGTTTAGTTCAAATTTAATACAAGTCATCTTTTCAAAAGAGTTTTAATGCTTTATCAAATAATGTCAAATGTCAAAGGTTAACATAAATATTTAATAACATCGAACAACACGTGACTTGGTATTCGGTAATACTTATTGTTGTGGTATGGTCCTTGTGAAAACAGGAGCAAGAGTGGAGCTAAGATGCAGGAACACAAAGTACATGATAAAGAAGGAATCAACAACGGACAAAAATGGGTTCTTCTTTCTTGAGGCCCCAAAATTAATAACCACATATGGGGCCCACAAATGCAAGGTCTACCTATTAGAAAAGCCCAATAACAGTGGGGCATGCTCCCATGCAACCAATCTAAATGGAGGGATTTCAGGCGCTTTCCTCTTCTTTAACAAAACCATGGCCCCACCTCCTAAGCCTCTGCCTTACTCTCTCTTCACTGTGGGTCCCTTTGCTTTTGAGCCTTCAAAGTGTTACAAACACTAGAAAGGGAAATGAGAGTAAAAATTAAAAAAAATTAAAAAAAAAAAAAGTTTAAAATTTGAAAAGTGAATTATTTAGTTCCCCATGCTTTTGTTGGTTTTTATAAAGCGTCTTTTAATGTAATTTGTTTCATGTAACGTTTTATATTTGTCTACTTATTATAATGTATGAGTAGTGGAGATTGGAAAGAGAAAAGAGAGATATGAGTTCAGTTGTGTCAGTTGTAATTCAGAATTGTGTTATGTGTTTTGTTTTAGCAAGGAAGAATAATAACATTGCAAAAATGCATGATTATTACTCACTTGTGTATGGTTACTATGAAATTTGAAAATGATATTAATGTCAAATGTAATGTCAAAAATGCACGCAATGTTTTCATTGTTGTTGGACTTTGTTTGCTTGAAAATGAAAGACCACAAAAGAATATCTCCCCTTCCTATTTTCTGTGTGGAGCAAGTGTTTTGTGGAACTTGGCATTGTTTGACTTCATTATTGTCAAAACCAAGGGCCTAAACTAAGCCCGTTAACAAACTAAATACGGAGTACAATATATACGGGCTTAACAATTATGTTCAATAATATGATTTCCTTCTAGTTCTCTTTAAAAAAAAATAAAGAATTAGTTATTAAGTAATAGTATTTCCTAAAAAATTACTCATTATATATTATCAGTATTCGTATGATTGTATGTTTTTATCAATTGTATTGGTGAGATAAACAAGCTAGAATAAGAATTTGTATCTATTATATGGTAAGAAAATATGAAAGAGCTATATTCAAGACTTTCACTAAGTAAAAAATAGTTTAACACTTGATTGCTAGCTTAGAAGAAACTTATTAGAAGAAAAAATATTTTGAAAAAGCCATATTGAAGTGTATAAACATAATACTACGTATATAATAAAGTTCGTTAATTCCAGCACATATTTACTTCTTTTTTTTTTTTTCCCCTTTCCTCTCTCTCTATTTTTTTTTTTAATTATTTTCCCTTAACCTTGATTGATATTATTATTGGATTCCATAATGATAATGGTTTCATATAATTGATACCGTCGCTTAAAATAATGAATCTATTTGATTAGTATTTATACACTTGATAATAAAGTTTTACCATTGATATTCTAATTATCTACTTCTTTGGTTATTTTTTTTACCCTTTGATTATGTTGTAATCAAGTGGGAGTTTGTAAAATTCGTTTTTATGTGTACTTTACATTGTCAATGCTAAATTTTTATGGTGATTGAAATAATTCAATGACAAACTTAAAATTAGAAATGTCACACAATAAAATTTAGCGAAAGTGATTGTAAAAAAAGAACAATAGAGAAAGTACTTACTTCATTACTTTGTAAAACAAATACAGTAAAGTAAAAAATAAAAATTATGAAAAGTACTGGGTCTGGATTGTCCCAGCTTCGTTTACTTGACTAGCTATTATTTTGGGCCTGTGCTGATGTCTAATGGGCTAAATAACCAACTTTTCCTGACAGGCTGTGGGATTGTGGCTATTGTAAGTTTGTAACCCACTTTCATTGACTAATCCTCTAAACAGAAATTGAAAATTGAAATGAACGTAAAATGTCAACATTTAGTTTAATTATTTGTGATTTGGAAATTTTAGAATTTGGAGTTTTAGCTATTTAAGCCTAAAAAAAAAAAAAAAAGGGTTTCAGAGTTACATGGATCAGTGAACCCTGGGACAACTAACATCTCACAAGGTCTTGACGAATCAAAATAATAAATTGTATCCTGATTTGAAAACGTGTGTAAGGAAAAACTTAGGGCTTGTTCACATTTACTTAATTTCAATTCAGTTCAGCTCCAATCAGTTCAGTTCAGTTTAGCTCCTAATTTTCCTCTCTCATAAAATATTCATTTCAGCTTAGTTCAGTTCAATTTAGTTCAGTTTAGTTCACTTCAGCTCCAATCTATACAGTTCAGTTTAGTTCAGTTCAGCTCAGAGTAACTGTGAACATGCCCTTAGTTTTAAAAGATCATGGTACATTGTACATACGCCAATAACCCCTTGCTTAACACTCAAAATTATATGGAAGCAAGGTAACCGTAAGCCCGTAGCGTCCATAAAACTTAAGGAGCTAGCCATAGCTTAGTATAATTAACAGGCTTTATACTTGGAAAGAAGTTTAACACAACATATAGCCAATAGGAGTTATAGAACCAGGTTCTTTAGAGACAAGGATATATTCATGTATAGAGAATAATTAATGTTAATTGTTGAGCATACATGGAAGAAATGGCTCCCTACAAATTATGATCAGTCACATAACTTCATTATACAGTGGAGGATTGGAGGAATTTGGGTCTATTTTCATGACTACGTACCACTTTTTAGTATTCCTTTAGTAATAATAATTTAACATATTTACATTTATTTTTTAGTGTTTAGAGAGCCACAAGGACGGGTGATGAAAATCGGTTCCAGGGTCACCTAGATCGGGAGAAGAGCTCTAACCACTTGAGGTATCCTCCTTCTCTCAGCATATTTAAGTTTATAAGACCTAGTTTAAAATAAAAATGAAAGTTGTAATAATATGACTGATCATAAGCATCCGTTACAAAAGTAAGATGCATGTAGTCTGTTCATGAATGGTGATAATCGATTTGAGGGATTGATGAGGAATGATTGAGATACTTAGACGTATATTCTGTGATATTTAGCGATATTCCTAACCATTGTTTTTTAATAAAATTAACTGTATGTTTCTTATAAAATAGTAATAGAATATTTTATCTATTGTGCTTAATGATACTGTTTGAGTCCAATTAAGCCTAATTGGGCCTGGTCCATAAATGATTAAATCAAAGCCCAAGGTCAATGAAATTTTTTCTGTGGAGGCGGATGCTTGGTGCATCCGGTTTTCTTTAAAAAAAAGGCGGAATGAATATTTAGTTGTTCAATAAAGAACATTTAGCTGTTTTATAAAGAACATATAGCTATTTTATAAAGAACATCTAGTTTTATATGTTTTTTTTGGTAAATCTAAAGAACATTTGTAATATTAGTAAAGAACATGATAATATTAAAGAACATTATTCATATAGTAAATGTACATTTGATATAAATGACCATGTATGCATATAAAAAAGTACATTTTATTGTATTATAATGTACATTGTATTATATTCTAATGAACATATATGTTATAATGTTGGTTACATGTTTAATATACATTGTATTATTTGCATCATGTTAGTATATGAGAAAAGAACATTTTACTGTATTTTAATGTACATTGTATTATTTGAATCTACAACTTTTTCTAAAATTGTCTATTTGTTTGCTTTCTTCTTCAAAAATGGATTAATCGGACGATCTTCTTCAAGAACTTCATTTTATTTCTCATTGCAACATTAAAATAACATCAAAATCGCAATTAATTCCCAATAAAATCAAATATTACAATTTTCAATCAAATTTATAAAAAACAAACACTCAAACTCAAAATAAACAAGTATGAATGTCAAATAAACAAGTATAAATGTCGAATTTGGTCTTACCTTTCGTTTTTATTTGTCATCTTGAACAATTTTGGACTCAAAATTTAGAATTTCTTGAAATTTTGCTTGAGGTTTGAGGAATTTAAATGGGTTTGAAGTTTTGTTTGGAGAGAGAAAGTGAACTTTTGGTAAAACAAAAAAAAATTGAAATGATTGTAATTAATAATGTTGGTAAAAAAAATAATTATAGTACTATTTATCTATTTCATTATACAAAAAAAATAATTATATTATTATACAAAAATAATATACAAAATTGTTGCATAAAAATCTGATGTAAATTATAAATTAACACTATGTTCTTTTATGTATATGTCCATGTACATTATAAATGAACACTATGTTCTTTTATATGCCCATGTACATTAGTATATACCTGCATGTTCATTCCGCCTTTTTGTACTTTGGAGCGGATGCACCATACGGATCGTGCATCCGCCTCCACGAACCAAGCTTTACAAGGTCAAAGGTTCAACTCTCCATCCATGCCAAGTCAAGGTCAAGTCAAGGTCCAAGTCAACATGGCAAGCCCATTTGGCTTAGGTCCACTTCTCCTCATTATGCTAAGGTATAAAAGCCTTCAACTACACTATTTTACATTCATTCACAAATAACCTCAAGCATTTAATACTCTTGCATAACTTTCTCTCTCTAAACACTGTTTGATTTCGGCATCGGAGGGGCCTTCCTCGGCACAATCCCCGAGGCCAGTTTACGTGTGTTCGCTGTGCAGAAAACCCTCGGCCCAACATTACTTGGACCGAGCCCAGTCTTCAGCCACTGTAGAAGGACCTTCGGCAAGGTCCCATTGTTTTTACTCGATACAGATACTATATCAAGTTCAACAAGAACCCTTGCATGTCTAAAAATTTCACCACATGATACCAATTTTGGTCGATTAGGATGAAAGTATTTGATAAATAATTGTTAGCCAATACTCATAGCTACTTTGCGGAGTAAACTGACCACTAAGGATGGATAGTTTATTATTTGTGTTAATTTGACCAAGCTTGATGAACTTTAGGATAAAGTTAAAAGAGTCATTTCCCCTCAAGGGCCTCAACTAGCTTAGCACAAACCTCTTTCACCAAAAAGCTTCAATCACTAGCTATGTTTCAAGATTATTAAACATTAGAACATAAGTAATTAAAACTCTCTCTTTCTCTTTCTCTCAAATGTACTATATTTTACCAAATACGAGTACAAAGTATATTAGCAATAAAAGAAAGTATTTAGGGCTTGCCCCTTGTTTGCGCAGCAAAAAAAAAAAAAAAAAAAAAAAAAAAAAAAAAAAAAAAAAGTATGAGTGGCCTGGTAAGTATATAATGGAAAAATTTCAAATTAAATGTTGCGATTAAAAACAGTGAAAAAAAATACTATTTTGGGTAGTTTAAACTCATCAATGTCGGTGAGCCATTAACTATACATTCTAAAATGGCAAAGTCAATATACAAGCATGGTCGAACAGGTAAGGTTTTGGAATTTTGGGATAATTTTAATTAAATAGGCATTGCTACATTGACTTACTAATTAAGCATCTTCGATCAAGTCTTCTGAATCAAGTCGCCACGTTCAGTTGATTTATTACTAGCTCCTTGTTCGCTAAACTATTCATCAGAAACAATGGTATAACTTCGCTACATCAACTTGCCCGGCCCCCAAATATTTGCTTTCGAACATGACCAAATTTTATCGTTATATCTCATAATGAAAGGAAGGATGAATGATATTACCCCAAAAAAAAAAAAAAATATGAATGTTGATAAAGCAAATGTTGATAAAATGGTGGATTTTAGACCTATTACATTGTGTAATGTGATTTACAAATTGGTCTTGAAAGTGTTGGCAAATAGGCTAA